CCCCCAAAACCCCAAAACCCCTACATACTATTATAAGAGACATAAAAAGAGAAATCTACTCTTAATAAATCTAACGCATTTAATTCGACTAAGAAGGCATTTGTCTGATTAATTAGGATATTATTTTATTTATAAGTCTAAATTTCAAATGGACGATGGTAACTAGAAAAAGAATAAGTTCTAGTAGTTTTATACCTAGCTGAGATCTAATTTCTTCAATATCATGTTTGAGTTATTGAAGGAGAAAAATACAGGTAATACCCATAATCACCTTATAATTCCAAACGATAGGCCAATTTTTCGGATGCTTCATTATACTTGTTATGTTTATTTAACTGATTGGTTTGCTGTTTGAGCTAGAGGTAAGTTCCCAAATTCATTCATTACTTTCCATTCCTTTATAACTATGCCTTGTAGAAATTCGAGTGGAAAGATCAGTTCTTTCTGACTACTGTGGTCTCAATTTGCAGCTATTCAAGAATCATTAAAGCTATCAACGACACTGAATCTCTATTTTTCTATTGGGCATTAATGTTCTTCGGTATATTTTACTTAGTAGCTATAATGGCGCTTCTAATTTATATGAATTACTTTCTTAAGAACAGAAAGCACTACATGGAGTAAGTAGTAAAGATACTTCGGATAATGCTGCTGCTTCTATTTTGGATCTTTTACATGCCCTTTTATGAGTCCTTTATCTCGATTATGAATTGCCAGAACGGCATGCATTACTTGGACAAATCACTTGAGTGCTACACAGGGATTCACATCTTCTACTTCGTTCTATGCATAATCTTCATAGTGCTACTATTCTGCATTAACATTATAATTGCTATGCTATACAATGAAACTTAGCCTGTACAGGAAGATTGTCTAAGTAGGCTTGAGAGTAGCTTTGAGGTAGCCCTTGTGATATATAGAAGTATTGTAGCCACATTTTCCAATTTTTGTGGGAGTGAAGTTTGCAGCTGGGTGCACATATCAGTTTATATCATATCAAGTGGTATGCTTTGTTATCAGTACTACAAGTAGATACCCTACTATAACAAATTCGTCAGCATTTTTTGCGGTAGTTTAATTTTCATCTATTTCTGGGTATCAATTAATGCCTTACTTATGAAACTATTGGAAGTTAACGGCCACCTTGTTATAATCTTTATAGGTATCCCCTTCATTACACTTCTAGTGATAAATCTCAGAGAGAAACGTATAGAAGGGTTAATGATGACTAATATTGATAAGCTGAAGGTTGATATTGATTCTTTAATCTAAGTGCATAACATGACCGACTTCTCCAGAGGCATAGAAAAGGATTAGGCTTAACGAATGGCAATGATCGGTATAGTTAATCTTCATATTGATGAATGCTAAAATTCAGATTGCCCCTGCAAAGAAGAGTATGAACTCTATGACATTCACACTAGCCAGTTCTCTGATAGGAACCGCAACTCCCCACATTCAGACGAAGTATTTTTGAACCATTTTATAAAGAGATTATATGAGGATGCTTTGAATAAGTTCATAAATTCACCAAGTATTCACATTGCCTTTGCTTTTTACTTATTCAAAGTAATGAAAAATATTCATGCTTCACTTGTGGAATTAAACATCGCAATCAAAAAGAAGCCATCACTTTAGCAATAATTTACTATATTCCGATATAAAAACATCATCGAAGAGTACATCATTCAAGACCATAATGAACATAAGCAGGTCTACCCTGAGCTGACTAATGTAATCGAGTTTGAAAGACTTTTTGGAGAGATGTAAAAGTCAATTGAAAAGGTATGTAACCTTCAGGTTGAGTTTTGGACTCATTTGACTACAGTAGTTCCAGATCTAAACATTCTTAATGAACTAGGCAAAAAGATATATGATGCCTCCTAGGAGACAGATTAGTTTTGGAATTAGCTTTGTAGGATCAACCCTAATTATCAACAGGCTCTGAACATCTATGGAGAATATCTGAGAGAGATTAGGAACCACGAGCATCTGGGCAACAGCTACCTTGAGAAAGCTTTTAACTCGGTTAATGCTAAGAAGTCAGTGGACGAGCATGCAAAGTCCTCAGATGTCCTGTTCAGTTCAGACACAACTGTTATTCATATAAGTGGCAATAAAGAGTCTATTGGTAAAATATTAAAGACAAGTCAGGGTCTGCAAACAGTGTTTGGCTATAGCAAGACTGAGGTTATTGGCCATTCTATTAACATACTCATGCCAACTATGTTCGCCAAGAAACATACAGACTTCATGGAAAGATTCTTCAGGACTGGAAGATAAGTCATATTCTACACCGAGAGATCTTTGTTTGCTACTCATAGAAATGGACATTGTTTCTAAATGAAAATACTAGTTAAATAGATGCCATCACTGCAGGAAGGCATCCAGTACGTTGGAATGATCAAACCTCTTACCTCAGACTTTGAGTATATGATTACAGATATGGATGGAGTGATTGATTCATTCACTAAAGGAATTACAGGCATGCTTGGTCTTACTCCTAATCTATTTAAGGACAAGGACTCGCAAATAAACATCTAGATCTTAGCCCCAGAGCTTATAGCCTTTTTCCTTGAAACTTAACAGAAAGGCAGACCAGCTAAGTCTAGATACAGAGAATAGGGAGGAGACTAGATCACTTTAATAGTACCTTAGAATTTCCATATGATTTGCAAATCGGAGTCAAAGTAGAACACCAGAGGTAATCCAGGACAGAGCAGATCTAAAGGCAGGGGCATATCAAATGCTAATCGAGGCAGATCAACGATATTCAAGTAATTCCTTAAAGTACTTGCTAAGCCTAAGAAATTCCAAAGAGACAAGATGCCAACTTCTAAGTAAATACTCTTACAGCCTGAATATATGCAATGTGAAAGGAAAAAGGAGGTACAGTGTGAAATCACATGCTTAGAGTTCAAGGCGACGACTTCAGATGCAGTCAAGATGTTTATATTTAAGTTCTCCAAATCCGAGAAGAATTAGGAAAAGAAGAAGAGCAATGATCAACTTGCACATTTTATTGAGAACATGGACATTGAAAGAAAGTAAAATCAAAGAGAAGAGAGCGGAGCATATGAGGAGTTTAAGAGGCAAAGTGTGAATGAGGAAGAATATGTGCCTAACTTATTCAAGTAAAGACAAGCATCTGAAAATCCATATACTAATGATTTGAATGTTAAGAACTAGAAGAACGATAGTAGCCGTAGAGTTGCTTTCTAGTCCGACAAGAGATTTGAAATTATGGATCCAGAGCCCAAGAACATACAATCGCACCGATCTGGTAAATCTATATTGTCAAAACAGTAGTCCTCACATGAGAGCAATGTTGTGAAGGGGAATAACAATATTTTTTCTCTTAAAGATTTACCTAATTAGCAATAAATTGAGAGTGGTAATTTTAATATGAAGGACTTCAAGCAATCTACTGAGCAAATAAATAATAATGGTAAAAGTAAAGACTCCTAGTAATAGATTTTTGAAGACAAAAAGGAAGAAGAAGAAGATGAAGAAAGCGAGGAGCAGATGCAATTCCAACCTATTTAGTCTAATTAGCAAGTCTAGCAGCCAGAGGATAACCAATCGGATATTGAGACACCAAGACTTGATCTCTCTGGCATAAAGCTGGAGTCAGCTTAAAAAGAAAAGACTAGCTTCCTCGAAGAACTTAAGAAGCAAAGTTTTGTGCTATCAGAGAACTCTACGCAGAAAATAGAGCCTAAAGAGAGTCTAAATATTAGTAGTCAGCTTAAGAATGAGAGGCCTTCTCAAGATAAAAGCAATCAATAGCAAAGATCTCTTAATAGCCTGTCAATTCTTCTATAGCCTGATTAAATGGTCAAAAAGCAGAATATGAACAATATCAATAAGATATTCGAAGGAGATGAAGCAGAGCCCTAAGATAGTTAGAGAAGTATAAAATCAGAGTCAGAGTAGTAGCTACAACAGTAGGACTAGGATGATAGTGAGAGTAGCAGTCATGCTGAGGGTTCATATCATCCTTAAAGCATTCAAAAGTCCTCAAAGAAGAAAAGCGGTAATTCAGCTTCGGAGTAAATATCTGAGCACAGTGATGAGGAGGATGAAGAGCAATCGTCATCTCACTTAAAATCCTCCAATTCCCGGTCAAGTCACAATGACCGTGGAAGTAAAGAGAGGAATGAGTCTCAACCACTATTAAGTTAGAGATAGCCATCTGCATACGGCCCTTCAAAGTTTGCTGCTCAGTAATAGAGAACTCCTAATATGGAAGATATGAAGAGAAACTTTGGCCATGACGAGGATGATGATGATCAACATCACAATTAATATGAGGAAGTTAAAAGGGCTCAGGAGTCTCAGTACTCGCCTTAGAAGAATAATTTCATGAAAGTAAACCAAATGCATGAAAATAACACATCAGATGAGGAAGATGATGACCCAAGAAATGATTCAAGAATTAAGAAATTTTAAAAGAGAGATACAAACAAGATTAAAACTAATCCAAAGTACAGATGCCTTGATGAAGGCTCTGAGGATGAGAATGCAGTCTCAAAGAATAACCTTAATGACGATGCATAAGCGTAAAGTTCAAAGGAGATCCAGTTTAGAGAGAACTTCCTTAGGTTTGAAAGAAGAAAGAAGCGTAAGGAGAGGAAGCAAAAGGAAAAGGAACTCAAAAAGATTAAGGCTTTGAATGGAGAAGACTCTTCAATGGGTTCAATGGATGATGGCACAGGTGGAAGAGCCACACCAGGTACTTCAACTGGCGATGGTGATGACGATGATGATTCATCATCTTCTTCTTCATCTTCTTCTAGTGAAGAGACCAAGGACTTGAATTAGAATAACAGAGTCAAAAGAGGACCGGGAAACCCCCAGAGTCAGAGAAAGAAGGAAAAGAAGTCTGAGAATAATGATGACGGTGATGTGAGTTCAGTAACAACGAGGCAAAACAAAACTGAAAGATATCATTATATACTTCGAATGGCTATTGACGAGAAGTATGTTCCTAGTTCAATTTCAAACATCAGATTCGCTGCTTACTTTATATTTACCATACTCACAGTGCTATCAAGTAAGTATAATAGATCCATTTATAATAATATATAGTTGCATTTTATGTGATCTAAACTAATTTATTTGACAAGATGAGTTAGAATATCAAGAATATTCACAATTCGGAACAAAGATTGAATTATATCATTGATATCACTTTAAGGACTAGAACTCTTGTAATTGCAAATTAAGGGCTTTTGGATTTGAATGCAAGTGAAACAGCAAAACTAATAAAAACAACTTAAGATGAGTTAAAGTCATCTGCAACTAAACTCAAAGATGCTTAAGCAGATTTATCTCTTTAGACATCAACACTTTCCACAGCCTAAATTTAAAAGATTAATCCGAATGACATCGAGCTTGTTTACAAGTAATACCCTGACATGCCTTCAAAATACTTTTTTTCAATATGGGAAGCCATTATGGAACTAGTAGTTAGTGCCTATAGATTATCAACTATGCCAATCAGCACGATAATAGATACTTAGCATACGGTTTACTTTGTAATTTAAAATTGCCTGAATAATGTACTTGTTGCTTTGAAATCTTCTACGGATGCCATAGTCAATGAGTCGAATGACTCTCGAGAGGAAAATATGAAAATATTCCTTTATCTACTCATTACTGCTTCATGTGCTTTGTCTTTTTCTCTACTTTTCCTAATCCCTGTGATTAACAAAGTCACTAAGAGCAAATAAGAAGTTATTAAGCTTTTTACCTTAAAAGCTATAGAGAAACATATTGATGATTAATTGAAAGTCTGCAGAAATTTCATCTCAACTAAGCTGCAACAAAATAATGAATAAGGTGACCACGACATGGATGGTGAGGATGTAAACATGAATGTTAATGACAAGGAGCTACAGAATGAGTTAAACAACAACAAATACTTAAAGAGAATAAAAAAGAAGAACAAGGGAAAGAAAATGAAGGAACTCAGCACTAACTTTGGCTCAACCCTCCTTAAGTTCGTACTTTTCCTGTGCATCATTGAAGGCTATTTCTTGGCTAACTACCTGCTAAGTCAGAAGTTCTTGACTAGTGTTCAGGATTTAACTTAGGAATTGAAGTTGTTAATATCTAGATAGCCTGTTCAGAGCTTCCTTTTACTAATCTAGAAGTAAGACATATAATATAATTTGATAACATATTAGAGAACTAATCTATACTAATGGCACTGCACTGATTGAAGGAGAGAAGTCCATATAATATGTGCCCAATTACTAGGATTAGCTATATGATGAAGAGGAGCAACTTCTTGACAAGTTCTCATAGAACTATGATAGCCATTCATCCTCTTATAATGACGAATTCAACAACATCATTTACTCAGATGTGTGCCAGTATGTGAAATTTGACAATCAAAGCTAATGCGAGACTTTTAACCAGGGTATCTTGAAGAAAGGTATTTACTCTAGCGTTATTAAGTACTGGGATTTCATCAGACAACTTAATCACGACTTCCTCGAGAGTAATAGAACTTCTTCCACCATCAAGCAATTTTTGAACGACTAAAGACTCCAAACTGCTGAGAAGATGCAGGACTACTACTTCAAAATTTCACTTTAACTGCTCGTAGAAAAACTTGAAGAGGACATTCAAAACTTGTAAGTAGCATTTGAAAAATTTAGACAATTATAGTTTTGATGTGGAGTTTATTCAAAATAGAACAATTTTCATTATCTACATGATATACATTGTCATTCTATATCTTTTCATCTGGAGAAAGTTTATGACTATAATGTCAAATGAACTATGGAGAACAAAGACCATGCTGAGGTATAATTATATTTTAAATAACTATAAAGTGTTTTGCCTACGAAAGTATGCTTCGAGGTAAAGGAAATCAGAGAAGTGATTCAGAAGAATTCTAGTAATGACTTTGTTTCTTCAAAATTATGAGAAGCCCTATTAAAATATTTAATACGATTGACCAAAGAATAAAAACTATAATTGATTTTGCTTATTATAAGTATTAATCTCTATTTGAATATTTAAATATCTTCCTATTTTAGTCTTGCGGGGTTTTGGGGTTTTGGGGTTTTGGGG